ATCTGTCAAACTCTCAGAGTCTATCCTGTTTTCAGAGTGTATTAGTTAATTTAGTTTACATCAGATTGAACTTCATTGAAGTGAATAGGATCTATTTTTTTTTTCTTGTCCCAATAGAAAATGATCGAAAATTGGATGCAGATGAATCTCATGGAATAACTTCTGAAGTAAAAATTTGAACCACCAGTACGTTTCCCAGCAATTTTTCTCTGGCGTGGCCGTTACCGTGCCGCGGGCTTTTCAGGCCACGGCTTACTGGAGCTAAATGGCTGGCGGCGCCAGCCAAAGAAGAAACGTGCCGTTCCGTTTTTCTTGGGCCTGCAGGGTGTTTCTGGGCTCGGCAAGGGAAGGGTCTTAAGTACTGGTGGTTTATACCACCAATTCCTCCAAGCCTGTTTTTCCTGCCCCGGATTGCTGCTCCGCCCCCCTTCTCCCCCCCTTCCCCCACCCCCCCCCAAGCACAAAAACGACCATCACAGGCACAAAATATATCCCTTTTGCCTTCTTCCGCCAGCCATTTTGGTCCAGTAGGCCAAGCTCCTTTTAAACCACCACTCCCCGCGACAACAAAAAATCCAGACGTACCAATAGTCCACTTTTTCGTGAAAGGCTTCGGACTACCGGTAGGTGAACGGCATACCGGGAAGGTTGAGGCCGGGGTTCTTGGCAGTGGGACCCACGATTTCACTCTGCCCGCCGGGATTCAGATGTCCTCCCTCCAGGGTGTAGGACATCAACCATTTTTTTTTTTTCAGTGGTTTCCTTTTTTTTTTTTTTTTCCGGTGTTCGTGTTGGTCCTCAACTTCGTGGCCTGCATCAATCGATCCGACCTGCCGGCCATTGTTTGAACCGCGCGGGTGGTCCACCCGCGGCGCTCAACCGCTCGTTTCCACATTCAGGCCATTGGTGAATTAACCGGAAATGAATTATATCATCCTGTAGGTGAAAGGCACAGTGCCATAATAAAACAAATGCTGTCGTCAACTCATCTGAACCCCCAAATACGTAGTATATATATTGTGTGCATGCAGTGGAATCACTATGGATGTGCCACCTGGCACAACACCCGATCACTATGGATGTGCCACCTGGCACAATGCCGGGCCTTAAAAGCAGTCTTGAAGGCTTGCAAAACCCCGGAGGATAGCCGTATCCAGCAATGCAAAGGATATATTATGGATGAAGTCATGAGGATGGAGATGTAGCCAGCATTGGGTCCAGCGAATACTTCATGAAAAGAAATCCAGGCGGCGGTCACGGCATGGGGAGAGGAGGGAGATGCAGCCAGTGATGCACACAAACTTATGGTGGCAAGGAAAAGAGTTGTCTGGTCTACCTGAGTACCAAACTGGTCTATCGGAGACCAAGTCCGCATTGCAAAGTTACCAGCTGAGGCGTCTCTGTCTGTCTGTCTCTGTCTCTGTCTCTGTCTCTCTCTCTCTCTCTCTCTCTCTCTCTCTCTCTCTCTCTCTCTCTCTCTCTCTCTCTCTCTCTCTCTCTCT